GAAATGTAGTGTCCAGGCATTTTGAAGTCCTGGGTGTAAATCTTTCCCCTATTTTAAGGAATATTTGGAAAAATTTGAAAACTGGTGGTACTTTAGAGAAACACTTTTATAGATACTACATAACTTAAGAAAAATACACTTTAGAATCGTTTTTTTATAGCTTATATTGATAATGTTTAAAAATTTTTTTCAGATAAGCTTAAACTTACTAATAAATTTTTAATATTTTAAATTTGGTTATAAGATTGAGTACTGCATCTTAATACATTTTTAAATACGTATTTTCTAGTTTTTGCTACTTTGCGACTGAACAGAAGATACCATCAATATAATGGTACCTTTTGTATGTCTTCTGAATATGGAGAAGAACGGAAAGTTTTGGACTAGCCTGGAGCAGTTTTATTTATTCTTTCAATATCTGAAGGTATTGAAAAGCAAGAGTGAAATCATTGTTGAAGGAATGAAAAAGAGTCAGACATTAAGTTTTGCAAATGTATTTCCACAGCTTTGCAATAGGCTATAGATAGAACTTCAGCCTGTATTCCTGAACCAGGTTCCTGTGAGTGCTCTGTGTTATACTTACAAATATTTTTCCAGTATCTACGCAGTACTTGTTTTGTAATCGTTTTACTTCAGCAGTAATGCTGTTATCGATTAACATTTCTTTGTTCTATGAGATTTGCATCATGAATTAACTGAGGATACATTTTTTACTTGGCCGGCCCTATGGTTCTTTTTTATCTGCAAAAAGCTAACACACTATTGTACTGAACTGCTTGAGTCTCCAGACATCATAGTTCATTACAGCACTCAGAAAGGACTTCAAAAAGAGGTACAGAGAGACAGAGGACACATTAATTAGGACTTATTATCACAGTTAATATTTTCCTAAAAACTCATCAAAGTAGCTACAGACACTAAAACACAATTAAAATTTGCTAGAAGATATAATAGGCTTTTTACTGAGCAGGGACATGGAGTGTTAAAAGTCGGGTGCAGAGAGAAGCCGACCAGGTGTATGAAAGGCCCAGAAAAGGTCTTTGAGATGTTCAAGGAGATCATCTCTTACCAGGACAGTTTGAGGGGGTGTGGGCTGAAGGGACTTCAAGTACTGAAAATGCTCATCTCTCAGCCCTTAGTAGGGAGTGCTTGTAAAAGTGCAGCGTTTGATTTAAATGCAGTGATTGCTTTGGATAGTTTTACATCAATCATCCCATAAGTTCAAGATCTATTGACTTTTCTTTGGGCCATTATATTAATATTTTCACTTTCAAACAGTTTGGTAGATTTTAGTTTCTTATTCTTCTTCAGGGTTCATATCACTATATTTCATTGCTCTTCGGAAGCTAAACAAAAAAAGTAACATTGCCAAATGGCAGTCTCTCTGCTAACATTTATGTTACCCTTCTCTAATTATTTCTCTATAGAGTTTTCCTAAGAATTAGAGGGCATTGAAAGGAAACCTGCTACTGAAAAGATGGAGAGTTTGTTTTATATTTACTCTTAGGCAACCAGCTTGAGCTTTGGCACTTCATTCAGACCTGCCTGTGATTAGCTTTTTGTGTCCCCTTCATATTGTTTCATTCCCATTAATATCCGTTAGTCATGTCACAGGCTCCTTTGTGCTGCGCTAGTGTCTGTGATTCTACCTCATTAAAAAAACCAGCGCTTCATCTCTTGTCTTAGGCTATAGGTCCTTGGCACTGCTTCCAGCAATTGAAATGTCCTTCCTTCTTTTTCATTTTGCCAGCCTCCTAGTAAGTTGCATTGTTTCTTCATCGACTTCTGTCTGGTTCCATATGAACATTAAGAACTGTGAAGGCTCTTAGATTTTACTTTACTTACGACCTAGCACGTCATCCTGACACGACTTAATGGATGTTCATGGTGCTTTACATTTATTACTGGTGCTCATAATATTCACTTAACTCGAGTCATTTCATTTGAGGTCAATCACCGGGATCGGGCCTTGAATCTGAGCTCCAGATAGGAAAGATGCCCGTGTTTCCCGGCACTTGGCATGCTTCGCTTCAGCTTCCCTTCCCTTGGTTAATTTGGAGAGGAATGTTATCATGATAGTGTCTTTTTGTCTTGATACTTCAGCCCCCTCCTGGCACTAGGATGGTCTGTCTTGCTGAAATATTTGCCATTTGCCTACACTACTGTTAAGGTGATTAGTAAACCATAATTGCTCTTTTTCATCCTCCCTGAAACCACGTCCTAAACCCTTCTGTGTTTTGTTGTTGTATTTATAGGCACCCATATTGGTAACGTATGGAGCCCTGCATAGGTGGGATACCTTCTTATTCTCTACCTAGATGGCCCACAACTTGGGTTTCTGGATGTCAGGACAGTGTTTCCCAGACACTTTCTAAAACTGCCTTGGTAATAAATCCAACCCCAGGCTTTCAGATCCTATCCACAGGGTATAACAAAGCTGTGACCTATGAATCTGACATCTGTATTGTGTTTATGTTATTTTATTAGGTATCCCTTTCTTCCAGCAATTGTGTTAATTAGTGCAGTACTCCTAACCCCTTCCAGCTTATGTGTTGGGGCTAAGTGTTGTTATAGGTACTATTATATATTATGTTCTTTTTACATACGAGAAAAGGAAGGCAGAAGATGAGCTAACTGGCCTAAGGTTATAAAGTTAGTAATGAGAGAGCTGGTGTAAACCTCTACAGTCCCTGCTCATAACCACTTCACTTCACTGCCTTTTCAAATTATTGCCATGCGAGAGTTATGAGTAGTAGGTGTTATGGATTCACACTAGAGGCAATAGAGTTAGAGTTTATGGGGGAGTAAATTTCAGCTGATTCTTGAAATAGGGGATAGGTTTGAATATGTGGAGAGGAGAGAGCATTCCAAGAGGAACAGAGTGAGCAAAGGCTCAGAGATGGGACTAGAAAGAACATGTTCAGCGGAGAACGAAGAGATTGAACTGGTCTATAGCAATAGTAACTAATGAACTTGGTTAGTACTGAAGGTTTATCCATTAGAACTTTACTGGGAAAAAAACAAACAAACCTTAGTTTTTGTCTCAGAACTCTTAGATTAAAATACTAACCTTATCTCATTCATTGGAAACACTAATTCAGGTGTCAGATGAAAGTATCACTAAGGAAAAATTCTGTCTTTGTGCTAGAGTTTTTAAATCTATTCTTTTTTTTTTTTTTGAGCTAGTTCTGCCCACACCAGCGTAATTTGGTTAGGTAACTTATGATGAAAATGGTCTAACAGGAGGAATTGGATGTATGTTGAAATTATGCCAGGTTTTGGAAGAAAAATGTTATTTTAAGCGTCCTGGTCATTTTTGGTGGAGTGAAGGTCTTGCCATGAAGTTGTCATTGGCAAGTTTACAGACCACTAAACACGGCTTCCTTATTTACAAAAACCACACACACACACATACACATGTGCGCGCACACACACTAGAAGTAATGTGCAAACATGTAACTCTGTCAAAGAAATGTCATGCTTACATAGCCTAGTAAAAATAAGAATATTGATTGAGATGGAAAGCTGATGCCTTTCCGAAGCCTGGGACTGAAGAAATCTGAACTGTCCTCTAGGTTTTGTAACTAACTCACAACTCAAGCTTGAAATATATATAAAATAATCACTCCCCCATATAGATTCATTCACTTGGTATATTTACAAATTAGAAGAGGTGTGACGAGCAGGGAGATAAGCTGACACCAAAGGTTAGGAACTAAAGAAATGTGGGAGGCATAGGGTTGCTATAGAGTTGACCAAACGCAATATCTTTGTGGATTCCTTTGTTTTGACTTGTGTGGATAAGCAGCTTGTGATGACATAAAAAATTTTAAGGTTGATTTCCTTTTCTAGAATAGAAAAACAAACTCCTTCATAACTTACTATTCAAGTCTCTGGATTTGCAGCTACTACCTAGTAACACTTAAAAATCATCAAAAGTACGTTAAAGATTATTTTTCCCAAGGTAAACTTTTATTAGTATAATGCCATTTTATATAGTACCTTATCTATTCAGAAGTATAATTAGTGCCATAGATTTCTCTGGGCTTTTTAAACCTAGGTTCATAGCTATTTTGGAATGGTTTTCTTTTATCTGTAGTTGATTAGTTGATTTTAACTATAAGTTTTTGCACATGTTTCCAAAGTCCCATATTGATACTGTGTCAAACTGTGTTGAAAATACTTTCTTTCTGATAAAATGGGTATAAACAACAGCAAAAACCAAATTCTAACTGACCTTTAAATGTATCTGCATTAAAAGGCTAAAGCCAAGGACTTCTAAATATTTTCATCCAAAGAACTATTTGAAATGTATCTAAAGAAAATGTTTATTTTCTAAATCTTTTCATTTGGGAAAGAAATTCAAATTTGGGGAAGATTCAAATTGTGATTGATTTTCACTCACTGATCAGGAGGACCCTGTAAACCTCTTCATCTGGGATTTTTCCCGTCATTTTCTTAAAGTTTCAATTCTCCATTAATTTCTTCCTGGGAAGAACATACTGGCTTACGGTTCCAGCTGTAGCACAATCTTGTCTGACCTATATAAGTTATCACACTTAGCCATCTGAGCCTTGGGCTTTTGCAGCTACACAGTGGGATTATTTATTATTTAACATGTCATTTCCTGCATGTGCTCTCAGTGCCGTGTAGATAAGCATAGGTCCTGCCTTTGGAGATTTGCAATCCAGAAAAACTAATAATATATCGAGCCACCCACACATTGGAGGGTAGGGTCAAAGAGCTAGAAATGAAGAGTCCTGGAAAGGAGTCTGAGAATGTTAGTCTTATAATTACAAATGATACATAGTTTTATGTGCTTTCCTGTATATATTTGCCAATTTAAATAAACTAAATGGGGTAGAAAGTGGATTTGAACTAGAATTAATTTTACTCATCCTTACAAAGTTGTCATGAACACTTATTAAGAAAAATAGAGTTCATTTTATTAAGAAAGCATTAAATCTTAGCTAATGTCTCTTTGCTTCTTTCCTTTGCAGAATACGTCTGTAACTGCTCTGGGGTCGGGAGCCTGAGTGTGAATCGCTGCAACCAGACCACAGGGCAGTGTGAGTGTCAGCCAGGTTATCAGGGGCTTCACTGTGAAACCTGCAAGGAGGGCTTTTACGTGAATCACACTTCTGGGCTCTGCCGGCCATGTGACTGCAACCCACATGGAGCCCTCAGCATGCTCTGCAGCAGGTAAGCAGCCCAAGGTGGGGCGACCAGGCTGGCTTAAATGATGAGAGGAGGGGCCATAGGCTTACCAAATAGTTCATATACTTCTATTCCCGCGTTTTGTAGATCATATTTAATGTCACGATTACAAAGCTTCTAATTTATAGATTTATTGGGTTGTCGGAAAAGTCACGATGCATTTTTGCAACAAAAAAACAGAAAAAATATGTCATGACTTTTCCGACAACTCAATAGTTCTTCAGAAGCTCCTGAGTCACCAATTTGGCTTTGTGATAGTTTCTCTAAATTTCATAGAAATAAATTATTGAGAAAGCAATCTGCTTTCTGGAAGCAATAAATTCCAGGCATTTCCAGTGGAAATGTTCCTGTTATGTTTATTAGCATACCACTGGAGTTTCAGGAAGCATATTCTTTGGTTTATTTTTCTCCTATCAGAATTCTAGAACTGTTTCTTTGCATAGCTAAAGCTTAAACTTGATATCATCTGTTAATTTCTTTAGTGGGGAAAAGGACTGGTTTCAGTCTATATACCAGCACATTTTGGGGGCCCAAAACTAGATTAAGCAGGAATTGTCTAAAAATTACCTTTACGATAGTACATTATTTGGAGTTGACTTAATCTAGTAGAACAGTACCCCAGAACCTCAGGACTTGCCTTCTACTCTACTGGAAGTAGTTGTTCTTTGACCTTGTAGGAGGCATGTAGCTTTTTGTGGACCCCAAGTCCAAAAGTTGAAGAGAGTTGTTATGTAAAGAAAAGAACACAGGCTTTAGAATCAATCTACCCTGAATATGGATCCAAGAACTGCTACCACAAGAGCTTTGTGTTTTGGGCAAGTTATTTCATTTCTCTGAGCCTTAGTTTCTTCTCAAGGTTGTTGTGCAGGTTAAAAAAGTAGAATGTATATAAATGCATAGCACATATCACTCAATAAATTCTGGTTTGTTTTAATTTCGAAGGAATATTGTTAGCTTAATGAGGGAATATTTTTAAAGAACACTTAGCTCCTTGGCAGAAAAGCTTCTTTATACTTAGCTATAGATATTTTGTATGCTTCTTTATAAATCATAGATTGTACGTCTATTAAAAACATAGAAGTGAACTTGGTTAAGAAGTTTATAATTTCAAGTGCAACAATAATACATTTATGATGCTTGGTTTGTTAAAATAGTTATTTGTCTTCATTCTCATAGTAACTGCTTTTACATAGGTTATTATATCACAAAGATTGTAAATGGCGAGAAAGAATTCCAAATTAGGTCTTCCAATTCCAAGTCCGATGTCCTTGTCACCCTGCCACATGGCTTTTATAATGAGAAAACTGATCATCTCTGTTATTTGACGTTACCATTGCAAAGGGAGCTTGCCATTGCTCCCTTTACTCCACAAAAACATGCCCACACTAGTTACATTCAGAGGTTCACTTTTCTTAGTATTTTAAAAGATGAGATTTGTTCGTTCTAGAATCTCATGGCATGTCCACTACTTCTTTTAGGATAAGATTCTGCAGACATGACTTGTCTTGAGTGCTTTTGGAGCGAGAGGAAAGTGTTTTACTTCTAGGCCCAAGTACCTTCTTAAAGGAAAAAGAAATAAGGAGAGAACTGAGAGAGAGTTGCAGAAGCAGGAGAAGAGGGGAAAAAAATAATACTAAAATTTATATAATATCTTACTGTTTTTATAGGTCCTTTACAAATTACTTTTTATTTTTTCCCTGACAGTTAATGTCATTAAGTGACATAAGCGAAAACACCATTCAAAAATAGGTAATAATTATGAAGTAGTAGAAAAGTGTGTAATTCAGAGGTCCGTGGCAGGATCTGTAAACTACAGTCCAGGAACTAGATCCAGCCCACTGTCTGCTTTGTAAGTCAAGTGTCACCAGAACACAGATGCACCTGCTGGCTTACCCATGATCTATGGCTGCTTTTGTGGTGCAGTGGCAGAGCCACCTACAGTGTTGACAGAGGCCTGGAAGCCTAAAATATTTACTATCTGGATCTTTAAGAGTGAGTTTGCCAAACCCTGGTTTAGAGTTCCCATCATGGTGGGTATTGCCAGGTAATGATATAGCTTTGGGACAAGTCACTTTACTTCTTTTAAGTGCCCTGTTGGTCTCCTGTATAGAGTTGTTTTGTCTTAAGGATCTAGCAAGATAGCACATGTGTAAATTTTTACAATGTTACTTGCTAGACAGACAATAAAAATAACAATTGGAACCTTTAATTGAGCATGTGCTATACGCTAGGCACTGTGCTAACTGCTTTATGTGCATCATCTCCTTTGATCATCACAAAAACTCACTTGAGGAGACCACTATTATTTTCCACTTTGAATATGAGAATTTTGATGTATAAAGCATTTAGTTAACTTGCTAAGTTCACACACTAAAGCTTCCATTCAGTCCAGTTGCACAACTGTAATAAGCAAGTGTTTATTCTGTGAAGCAGAATACTTCACAATTCATGTTTTTCCTAGTAGAAAACCTCTTGGTAGTCAGCACCCAAATATCCTAGAATGTATTTATCCCTCAATTCATTGTGTTTTGGCTAATGATCATGTAAGAAAAAATTGTATTTATGGCCCAGAAACTCAATAAAGCCATATACAACACTGAAAAAAGTAATACATGGAAAGTCTTGTGTTAAATTCCCAGTATAGCTGGTTGAATGTCAGGATCACATGTGGACAGTTTGTCAGGTGCGCCACACGCCACCAAAGCTGCTGTGCAGTGTTACTGCATGTGAAGCAACTGTTAGCCACAGGAATTGTTTCGGATCAGGAAGCGATGCTTTAGGCATTTTATATCCTACATTGGAAGTTTTTACTTAGATATAGGTGCTTTACTGTGTTTCAGGTACACTGTAGGAAGTCGATTTAGTGGTTTTGGGTTGATATGTAATGAATTGTAATTTTTTAATTTAAAATATTGGAAAATAGGTTCTGTGTTAGCATTTCATACAGAATATTCTGATTTTCAGTAATGAATAATTGATGGTGAGCATGAGGTAGAAGATACCAGCATTATTATTATTATTGCCTAGTCTACATGGACTATTTTTGATATGTGCCCGATAGGTTCTGTTATCCTTAGTAGGTCTTTTGTTTTTAACAAGTGACACATGATTTTATATTATCTGCATACTGTCAAAGCATGCTAATTTTTCCTGTCCTATATCGTCATCATCTAACTGAAATCTGTACGAACCTTGTTTCCCCTTCAGCCCTTGTAGGTGGCGCCTGTTTTCTCTCCCACTCCCGTTACACGTCTGGATGGAGAGTTGGAACGGATATCTTCCTTGTTCCTCATGGCAATTCTCAGAGCGGTCTCCCTTCTTCCTTCCTAAAAACCCCACCTCGGAAGCTCATAGCAACAGCCTATGTCATACATCCTTGTTGCTATTCCCCCTCCTGGGCCCTACCCCATATTTTTCACATGACTCACTGTTGTCAGTCTGATGCCACATCTGTCATAATTCTGGATGATTTCAGTAGCTATAGGAGATCCTAACAGTGTTTTGGCCTTTCAGTTTCTTGACTTCGCTCCCAATGAGCTTTCCTCCATGCTCTATTTCTTGATTGTGTCTGGCCCCAAGGATAGGCATGTTAAATTTTTAAAGATAACTCCATACTTCTTTTCTATGGGTTACTACACAGTAATGTTTAATTAAAAATTTTTTAACAATGTTATTTCAGAATGTCAGGCAATTTGTTAGAACAAGCAGTATATCACAAAAGTCACTTAGTAGCCTGTACTTAAAGGAAGTCTTTAGAAGCGGAGCGTGGGAGCTGTAAATCCAGCTCTAAGCACAGCATTTGTGACTACCAGAAAGGAAGTCAAATTGACCTGAGGCTAGAGGAACAGAAGTGGGAAGTTGCAGAACTATGTGCTTTGGCAAGAGCATATGGCGAACTATGAGAAAACACCTCTAAGTTCTGCTCTGCTATAAATTATATGTAAGTGAGTTAAGGGAAAAAGGAAATTATAGGCAAGTAGTGCGCTATGTACTAGAAAGGAAATGGAATCTGAAATTAGTAGACTTTGATTCCATTCTTGGTTTAGTCACATACTAACTGTATAGCCTTGATTAAGATGTTTGACCTTTCTGAGCCTCAGTGTTTTCATCTGTAAAATAGGATTAATGTATGTAACATAAAGGATTTTTTGTGAGAAGTGTGTGTGTGTGTGTGTGTGTGTGTGTGTGTGTGTGTGTGTGTGTACTTGCTTACATTGTGACTGGCACATAGAATCGGCTCTGTAACCCCTTAGGAGTTGAATCTGTTTAAAAACAGTGAGGAAAAGAATTGGTGACACACACAGGGGGAGGATTAAGTCAATCACACTTGGCTATGAGTAGGGATTGTGGTATTTGTTTTTGTTGGTAGACTAAAGAAGAAATTGTTTATTCTAGCAGAAAAAACATTTTGATCATTTTCTTCCATTTTCATGAAGAAACCTATTAAACTTTTAAAAATTGTATATTCTACATTTTAGAATAGTAATAAAATAGCTAAAATTATTTGAACACATGCTAGGCACTACCCTAGGTCCTTTGCATGTAGTAATTTACTTAATCCTTACAGCAACCACATCAGGTTGGCACTATTATTATTATTATTATTATTATTATTATTATTCTCATTTGCACAGGAAAAAAATTGCCTAACTTACAAGGTAATAGCCAGTAAGTAAAAGAGTTGGGATTGAAACATTTGCAATTTGATCTAGAATATGTATTCCTATCCATTGTGCTGATACAGCCTTTCTTAAAATCGTGGATACTGAGCAAAGTGAGTGACTGTTTTAAGAAACTTTGATGCTGTGGTGCAGACTATTTGATATTTTATAGGAATTTCTTCTGGTTGTACTCTGGTAATCAGACCCTGACTGCAGTATGAAGTAGCTCATGCTATGTAAATAACTTCTTGGGAAAAAAAAACACAAAACTTCTTGGTAAGAACCAATCCATTTTAGCTTAGTAGAAATTGAGAACATTAGAAG